GTCATGCAGGCTGGATGTAAGCTCTTATCCAAGCCCCGAGCTGATGAATTCGGCTCTCCATGGCCGGAACGGGCCTATGCAGCTAAGTCAGCGCAAAGGCCAAAAATTCGGCTTGGTCGATCAGGCTGGTGGCCACCATGATGCCGGTGCTCGTCGGAGGCACTGGTCACACCAGGGACGCTCCCAGGCTAGGGCCTCATAGATGTCCGTGGACATGTACGGGTTCACCAGGCGCTTCGCCTTCCCGTCAGCCTGCTTGTGCTGGCACAAGGTGATGCCATCCTCGACCGTGACATGTGTGCTGGAACGCTCTGTGGCTGCATACCCCTGGGGTTCAGGATGCTGTGTCCCCACGGCTGTGTCCTGGAAGGTCTTATGCAGCCACTTTTTCATGCCTTGGTCCTTGATCACCTTGTGAAGCTCTGTGTCCCGGCGACTCTCCACGAAGTTGTTGGCCGCCTCAATGGACTCGCCTTCCAGCAAGGCTCGGCAGAGAATGCCTAGATAGGCCCCACGGTGTCTCCCTTTGATGCAGTGCACTAGGACATTGTCACCGTGCCAAACCGTGTTCTTCACAGCTGGCCACACATCTGTCCATTGCTCATTGCGCTCCTGGCTGTAGGCCGCCGCAAAGGTCATCAACTGAGCTCCCGGGAGGGTCACCCCCCCCGGCTCTCAGGACCATGCGGGAAGCAGCAAATCTGCAGTGCCGTCTTGGGGAACCTATCCATGGTCTGCTGCATTGGAAGTCCCGCCAAGTAGAGGCCACCTCCCTTCCGTGACTGCCAGATGCATGTTGGAGCCTGGGCTGTCCCTGAGCCAACACCCAACCTTTCGAGGTGCATGTCCAAAGTATCACCTGCCGCCTTCCCACGGCCTTTCTTGGGCATGGCCTTGATCTGTGGCTTTCCAGGGGCTGCCATACGCTTGGGGGTTGTGGCAGTCGCCATTGGCTTAGGGGTAGTAGCCGTAGCCTTTGGAGGCGTCTTTGGGGCTGCAATCGCCGGCGCCTTAGGCGGTGTCCTCGGTGCAGCGCTGCCTCGGGCTCTCTTAACGGCTGAGCGCATAGCCTCTGCCACCTCATCATCGGTTGCTCCACTTGCCCCGGTCCTCTTTCTGCCGAACTGAGCCTTCGCTCCAACGGCTGCCGGCACCAAGGATGCCGAAGGCTTGGGGGCTGCCGGGACTGCGGTCTCAGCGAGCACTGCGCGCTTGATGCGGCACACACCAGCGCCGTGTTTGCCACCGCATGCCCGTCCCGATTTTTGTAAGACGGCACATAAGTGCACTCCGAAGGGACAGGAGTCTGCTTCGTTCGGGCACGAATCCGTCTGGTAGTCTGGGCAGATGGCCTTGCCGTTCTTCAGGGTGGCTGTCAACACTTTCCCCTGAAAGTGGTCCGGCATTTGGGGGGCCGGTGCCGCTTCTGCCTCCTGGCGGGCTTGTTGCGCGGCTTCGACAAATTGCTGTGACAGTTTGAGCCTCTTCTTCACATCCTGAAAGTTGTGGGAGGAGGCCCACATTGGTTGCCTGTCCTGCCTCAGCAACCGGTCTGCCTCTGCTAAGCCATGGACCCGGGCTGCGTCTAGCTCTGACTGCGGGATCGCCTCCCACAGCAGGTTGCTAGTCAGCTTCGCTGTCGCACCCCAGATCAGTGATTTCACCTTGATCGACGCGGCGTATTTGGCCGACGAATAGTGGAAGGCCATTGCACCCACTTCTGGCACCTCGCCCTTGGCTTGCCAGTCACCCAGGGCGGCCATTTCTTCAGGCTTGCATTCCAACAATTGGGCCACCGTGGGTGCCAACCTTCTCCAACTGTAGGTGGTCAGGTCTTCAGGATTGTCGAGGAACACGGACATTTCCTGTTGCATCGTTTCTTGAACTTCAAGGATCGTCCAAGGGCGTCCTTCGTCCGAAAAACAAAGACCTGCCAGCCTCTGCCTTGCCGGTGCCAGTGTCCTGTAGGCCTCCAACACCTCCTTGGCCCAAAAGAACCCATTGGCAAAGGTTGCCGGCACTGCAAAGTCGAATCCCTCACGAGCATGCCTTTGTTTGCCTTTGGGACACCTGCAATGGAGGAATGCAGCGGTGAGGCGTCGAGGTTCCGTTCGAGATATATGCGCATACCTCAAACAGCCAAACGCCATGATCCAAGGGGCCAGGAGGACTGACCACCTTTCATCGCCTACCGCATGCAGTTCCATGATGCGGTCCTCCAAGGCCTGCACCAAGGGTGGCTCGACCACCGGAGCTTGCCCACGCTGCCCAGTCGCCCTGGGTGTTGTGGGAACTTGCAAGTTGCCCAGCTCAAGATCCTGGTCGGCATTCTTATTCATCCACTTCAAAGCTTGGAGTGCCCGTGCTGGTGCCGCTGTGTGGTTCAGGAACTGGTCAAGGTCGACCATTCCGGGAGGAGCGGGTCGCCCCCGGCTCTCCAAGAAGGTCCTCAGCTCCAACCAAGTGTTGACCACTCTGTCAATGGTGGCCTTTTCAGCGTCCTTCACCTTCTTTTCGGCGATCCTCCTGCACGTCTGCTTCCATTCAGCTTTGAGGGTGTCGGTCAAAATGCCGGCTGGCTTGTACGCGCCCATGCCAACAAACATTGAAACCACGCCGTTCACCCTCTTCTGGACGGCTTCACTCAGGTTTTTGTCGACGTTGATGGCTCTGGGCTTCTTCTTGTAGATCGTCTTGCGCGCTGGGCGCAGAGTGACGTAACCCTTGGGGTGGTCCTCCGCGACTTTGGCTCCAGCGGCAAGGAGGGTTTCTTCGACCCTTGCTCGCGTCTGCAACCAGTCATCGGCGACATGATGGCCAGCGAGTCCAACGACTTGATCGTAGTCTGTGTAGGCATAGGCAAAGTCATTGTCATCCAGAAGGCCTTCATTCTCCCTCCATTGGCGGGCCCTCTGAGCAGCAATCATCATTAAAGAGTCGGCCGCCCTCCATCCTGGTGCAGGGTCACCCCCTGACGAAGATGAGGCTGCCGCCTGAGCTGCATAGTAGCCTTTTCCGCCTGATGCCATGGCACTGCACCCTAACAGAATTGCTAAGGTGCGGAGAGCAAAAAGATGCTGCGGTGACTCCAGAGGTGCCTCCTCTGTCATAGCATCAACCTTCAGCGAACATCTTCTTACGGCCTCCACAAACTGTGCATGGCTGCCTCCATGTATAGCAGTCACTACACATGCCAACGCAGCAGGCCCAACACACGCGCCTGGTGGGGTCGCCGCACTCCGTGCATGCAGTCCCCAGATGCTGGACTCTGGCTTCTTGGCTTTCCAGCCATCCACAAAGAGCTCGATGAGCCCTGGCGCCCTCTCTCCCCCATGCCGGCCAGGGTCGCCCCCTGGGGGCCCTGGGGAAGTGACGCGGCTCGAGAAAGATCGGCAGGAGCTCGTGCGGGCCCACACATCGAAGCCAGACCCTCCATTGCTCGAAAAGCTCGCCCAGGCCCAGCTGCCCAGCGTCGCCCGCTGAACATCTGAGCTGGAGTCCATAGAGCTCTTGGGGCACCACGTCCTCGGCCACTCTGAAGTTCGTGTATGCCGAAACCAGCAGGAGATCCATGGGTTCCTGGTGCTGGTAGTAGTACTCCCAAGCATCCGCAGGCGCCACATCATCAGGCAGCACAACTCCCCGGCTATTCCACAAGCCAAGCCACGGGAACTTGAACCCACCCACATGAGCTGCGCAACGTGGACATCCATCAAGGCAGCAGGGCATTTTCGGCAAGGGGGGAAACAACTCACAATCTGTCCCAGTAGTGAGAACGTAGGGGGAGTGCAACACCTCGATACCATGCATCCAGCATGTGTATGCTGCTGGGCCCGAATCCTCCCTTGCCAGCCTCTCCACGTGGTTCTTGAATTCCAAAAACGCAGCCGCATGCAGGATCTTCGCCTCAGTGGCTGCTGGAATATCAATGCCTGGGAGTTTGCGCTGCATACAAGGTCACCCCTTGTGTTGAGTTTGAACCAACCAATCAAGGTCAAGTAAGGTCGCCCCTTACAATGACCGAGAAAGAAAACAGCAATGAATGCTATTTTGGTTCAAGTTTACTTGAGCCAAAATGATAGCATTCATTGAACACTTGAAGATGATACATGCACACCCAAGCCTGCCAAACTCGATGCATGGGTATATACAACAATACGGATGTAATGAATGATCAAAAATGATATGAATTTGGGGTATAGTATACTCGTACCCTAGTTTCAGACAGCCCCACGTGGCTCAGTATGAAGCGTTTCTCCTGGGAAGAGGCCTTATGCCACTGAGATATTCACCAATAATCTGAAGTTTAGGTATGCATCTGCATAGTAATTCATGTATGTCTCTAGTTTACACCATGTACACCTGAACATAAAACATGTTCAAATGTGTGTGTATATATATATTTATTTATTTATTTAGTTATTTATTTATTTATGTATTTATGTCTTTATTTATGTATTTATTCAAATCAGGAATATAAACAACGATGTGTTACATATATATATATATGTATACACATGGTGCGTGTATACCCTGCGCTAATCACCCGTGACTTGCTGGAAAATCACCTATTATTTGGTTCGATGATTTGACCATAGAAACCTCCATTTGGTGCAGGAATTTTCCAGCCAGCCACGTTTGATTACGGGAAGGTATATGACACACACACACATATATATATATATAGTCATCCTGGAGTAGATAGAGTATGTAACTGTCAAAAAATCCTCACCAAAAAGAGAATACCTTTGAAAATCCCATTTTCTATCTATGTACTCCAGGATGACTTTGGAATTATATCACTAGTCACGATTGGTATCATTACAGTACTGTTATTGATTCTGATGTATATATCAAAATCCTGCAAAATCATGTATATATCTATCTATCTATATATATATACACATACATATGGAGGTTTCCTGAAAAGGGGGCACCCCTAAATCATCCATTTTAACAGGATTTTCCATTGTAAACCATCCAGCTATGAGTGGCCCTGCCTCACTTGGAGCCGGGGCCCCCGGGGCCTTTTCCTCGTGTCGCCTTGGAAATGTTGGTCAGGCATCGGGGATTAGGGTGATAAATGGTTATAATTAATGGGATACATATATATTTATAACCATTAATATTATATTCTAGTGAGTTGCAATGGGGTATAAAATGATAATGGTTATATATACATATTATATTCTAGTGAGTTGTAATATGTTATAATGGGGTATAAAATGATATAAATACAGTGGGTTAAAAATGGGATACACAATTGGATACACTTGGGATATCGGAAACATTTACTTCGTAAATGGTGCTGATCATGGCGATACAACAGCAAGATACCCATAAAATCATCTATAAATTGGCATTTCAGGGGAATATCACAGGATATGAGTTGGGTATTGAAATCTGGATTGATTAATGAAGCACCACTTTAGTAGCAGGTTTGTGACTGTTTTGGGGACCAGTCAAATCCGAGTTCATCCAGGGCTGACTTTTTTTGAACATGATGATTAACCAGTCTATGAGATCTTGGGGCACCGTACTGTCAAACCCCTATACATGTGTGTGTGTATGTGTTGAACTGTTGTATTTGGGTGCAATTGTGTCCGCGGAGCATTTTAATAGATGCATAGCAACAAAAAGAAACAAACATGCACCAACTAAAATGGTTTTTTGACTGCGTTTCTATCACTTCTATCTTTGGGGGATTGCTATATGTATCCCATGTGTTTGTTGCTTCACTGGCAAGGACTTTATGACAACTGACCCCTGAGCCCTGGCGTCCACTCCAAGACCTGGGTGTCGTGCATGGCTTTCACCTTCCGTCCTCAGCTGAAGGATTGGTCGTTTGGGTCTGACCTGAAAACGGGGAGATATCGGGAGACCAACAAATTCAATTCCAATTGGGAAAATGATGATGTTTACCAGGGTTATGAGCCCATCGATTGGGATACAATCCCTAAATAAAGCTATTCATCTATCTATCCATGGTTCTCCCCAGAATCCAGTGGCATGTTTTGTGCCATATCACAACCTTGTATGGACTGTGTACCCTCTGGTAAACTAATACCTTGCTATGGAAAATCACCATGTTTAATAGGTAAATCAGCGAACTAAATGGGGCATTTTCAATAGCTATGTCAGCTATTACCAGAGGGTATTAATATTCAATGGACGGGCAAAGCCAAGCGACCAATCTCCTCCTGACTCAGCCCATCCTTACGCCTCCACTGGAAAATTTTGGCATCTTTGGCACGGGGAATCCAACGGATTTCCTGGACATCGTCGGACGACACGGCGCCACGGGAAGGATATGGTCACGGCTGGTGACCAAATGTGTTCAGTAGGCGATCCAAGAGCCGAAAATTCCAAAATGTGTCAATCATCCCAGCAATCCCAGCCCTATTTCTAAAATGTCCTCAATTCTTGATACCCCAATGAGATCCAGTACTAAACCATGGTTTCATGGGCTGGATTGTTTGTCATATTACCCTCCTGTCGTCAAACATGTCTAGCCGGAAAATCTCCTTTTTAAGATTTGGATTATGATTTTCGCGGTTAAACATCCACGTATAGGGGATCTGTTTGATTAGCCGAGGGTAGGAGGATGGCTGCACCAACGCTTTCAGCTTGGCTCCTTGGAAGTCGCCTTTGCACCTCAGAACAGCTAGGCACTTGGGGACCCACAAATACCATAGACCACGTACACTGGAAGGGGCTTGGTTTGGAGGTGCAGTTAGGATTGGACGTGGCTTTGGCCATGGCTAACGCCAGAAATATCGAGAAACCGCTTGTGAACGTTGCTGCAGAAACTGTACCTGAAGTGTATTTGGCCCCTGGCGATCCAGGGTGTAGTTGTGGGCCCACCACACCTGCGAGCTGTGATGAAAACAGTGTTTCAAGGGGTGCGATTCTGGCAACGTATTCCAACAAGCTCCAAAATCCGAGAAAATCCCATGGAACAATCATCGTCGTCATCATCATCATCATCATCAGACATCATTTCAACCAGCGCGTGGCTTCCAACATGCTGCGCCCACACGTCTTTTCTGATCTGCTCTGTAAAATCTGGCTTCGTGGTGGCGGCGGCGGATGCGTGGGACAGCTGTCAGGATGTCAGCATCTGTGCAGCCTGACGCTACCAAGCACACGGAGTGAAGCGACCATGGATTGGTTTCCTTGCCAACATCTGGGAGAACAAAGTTTTTTTTACCAAAAATATGTGGTTCCTGCAGATTTTCCCATCATCCAATTCTCGGATAGACTCAGAGCAGTTCTGGCTCAAAATTAGGACGCCCGGTTTGCCTAGTTTCATCATTCAAACTCTAAACACCTCTAAATTATCAGGGAGAGTAGATAAGGGAGAGTAGAGGGATAAGTTTGGTGCCTTGCTCGAACTTGACGGTGGCTCAAACTGATTGACCCCTTCCGCTGACTGCGCAGAAAGGAGTAACATTCTGGGTCTCGTTTTAAACATCGCTGAGCCTCCTAACAGTTGCTACCGGGTTGTGACCCCATTCAACTGGAAATTCACCCAAAAGGAAAGCATTGAAGGGCAGCTGTCAGGGTTTAAGCTTATAATGTTATAACATCTTATCAATTATAGCTCATTATTCCAATTACGTGATTACCATTCAATACCACCAACAAAATCCAAAACAAATCGGGGTCGCGCGCAAGCCCATCCGCAATCGGCGGCCCGGCTCCCAGTCACCTGCGAATCGGGAACTCTCCGCTGTCCCCAGCTTCATTGTGAGGCCTGGCTGGGGTCAGTAGGATTGATGCAGTTCGGGACAGCCACTTGCCCTGGGATGAACCACCAAGTACTGGAAAAACCCGAAAAGGGAGATCAAATCGAGACAGACCTGGGCAAATCATCTCCAAATAGTGGGATTGTCATTGGATGCAGGGATGGGTCATGCCACCGGCTCTCTTGATGTGGGAATCGTGCTAGAGGTTTGCTCCATGACCATAACTATGTGGGCATATCCAAAAATGGGATGGCTCAACCATAGAGACAGGGATGGATTTGGCCAAGAGACATCTGTTCCAAAAAAGGGGGTCACCAACAAGAATAGCGATTTACCACCCAAAGTGCGCGGTGAAACCCCAAAAATGACGAGCTTTTGTCGAAATGGGACAGTTGTTAGGAATCAGTTTGGCGTTCAGCACCTAGAAATCCACTGTGCGCCTATGCCTATGACGGTATTGGTCAAAGTTGGGTGCCCTCAACAAAATAAGCAAACAAAAACCAAAACAATAAACGCAGAAATAATAATTGCATAATTTGCATAATCATAGCAGAGTAACAATGATAATAGTCATGATGGTAACAGGATGTAACAGGCATAAAACCATATAAAACCAAAGTCACCCAAATCCCTGGTTCCCGGAAGCGCATGGCGAAAATCGCGCCTGAAGCTGGCGTCGCAAGTCATTGTTCTCCGCGCGCAGCGCTTTGTTCTCCTCTTCCAGGGCTTGGATCCTCGCGCCCCTGGCGGCGCTGGACGACAGCCCAGAAGGATTAGAGACAGAAGGGGAATGGGAAAACTGTGGAAAACTGTGGAAATGATCTGCAAGAAACGCCTGTTCTATCCTTTTCTGCATCTGGTTTTGTACTGTAATTGATTGTAATTGTATATCCAACCTATTCTTTGATTGTATCCTGCCAACCAGTAACCAGGTGAGATTCGGCTGCTGCAGTTCCAGCCCAATCCATATTCGTCAACGCGGTGACCCGAGGCAGTGTGGCACACCCAACAAGAAAAATCAGCCGCAATTTCACCAGAAATGGGTGGTATAACTTGTAACTCTCCAACATTCTCCAAATATTTGAGGCGCACTCTTGAGTGTACCAGATTGGCAAAGGCGGCAAAGGTTCGAAACCTCAAAACCACACAAAGCTAAAGCAGAACTAAGGCCCGATCAGATCGAAGCGCATGTCATCTGGACCCACGGTGCCCCTCAGCACAGCTTTTCAAGACCAAGCGCCCATGTGTGATGTGGGTAACCCCAATACTGAAAGAGGGTTTAACCCTGGAAAATGGAGTTGACCAGGCCAGAAACGGAAAAACTTTGGATGGAATTCGATTAAGAGGATCATTATTGTATGAGAAAGGTAAACCTTTTCTAAGAAACCGTCCCGACTTGGTATACCCCCAGTTGGGATGATTTAAAATGACCCCCCAAGTGGGTGATAAGGGATGGTGTATTGTTTTGCTTTACCACAGTAACGAGCCACTTTGGGGGACCTATGGTATTGGGCTGGCCACGTTGCCATGGTCTAAAAGCCTCAAATATCTCTGGATTCCTTCAAAACCTATAAACGCCAAATCATCTTCTGGGTCAAAAATGCGTAACTATGTATATATGCATAAGTATGTTTGAGAAACAATACCAAAGTCTATTTATATATCACAAAGATGGCCTGAAGCTGGTTTGAGGTGTTTTTTTCTCGAGGAGGAATCCCTGCAATTTGGAAACGGGTATAAAGAGACCTGTTTTCCTGAAACAGACATCAAGACAAAGTGCAGTACTTCACATACTTCACACATCAAACAGAAGCATACACACAAGCCATGCTTATTCATCAAAGGAAGTTTAGGGGGAGAAACTTCCGTGTTACGGACTTTTAGAATGTCAGGGAAAGAGTTAGTCAAAGAAAGAGTTCGTCAGGGAAAGAGTTAGTCAAAGAAAGAGTTAGTCAGGGAAAGAGTTAGCAAAGAAACAGTTAGTCAGGGAAAGAGTTAGTCAAAGAAAGAGTTAGCAAAGAAAGAGTTAGTGAGGGAAAGAGTTAGTCAAAGAAAGAGTTAGTCAGGAAAGAGTTAGTCAGGAAAGAGTTAGCAAAGAAACAGTTAGTCAGGGAAAGAGTTAGTCAGAAAGAGTTAGCAAAGAAAGAGTTCGTCAGGGAAAGAGTTAGTCAAAGAAAGAGTTAGTCAAAGAAACAGTTAGTCAGGGAAAGAGTTAGTCAAAGAAAGAGTTCGTGAGGGAAAGAGTTAGTCAAAGAAAGAGTTAGTTCGTCAGGGAAAGAGTAGTCAAAGAAAGAGTTAGTCAAAGAAACAGTTAGTCAGGGAAAGAGTTAGTCAAAGAAAGAGTTAGTGAGGGAAAGAGTTAGTCAAAGAAAGAGTTAGTCAGGATATATGAGGTAGTCAAAGAAAGAGTTAGCAAAGAAACAGTTAGTCAGGGAAAGAGTTAGTCAAAAAGAAAGAAAGAGTTAGTCAGGGAAAGAGTTAGTCAAAGAAAGAGTTAGCAAAGAAACAGTTAGTCAGGGAAAGAGTTAGTCAAAGAAAGAGGAAAGAGTTAGTCAAAGAAAGAGTTAGTGAGGGAAAGAGTCAGTCAAAGAAAGAGTTAGTGAGGGAAAGAGTTAGTCAAAGAAAGAGTTAGTCAGGATATATGAGGTAGTCAAAGAAAGAGTTAGCAAAGAAACAGTTAGTCAGGGAAAGAGTTAGTCAAAGAAAGAGTAAGTGAGGGAAAGAGTTAGTCACAGAAAGAGTTAGCAAAGAAATTGTTCCCTCACTGTAAATGGGATTGCAAGTGGTGCTGGTGGAGGAGTTGCCGATGGAGTTTTGGAGGAAGTCTCGCACGAAATGCGTTTTTGAGAGATAGCAGATGCACGAAACCCTATGTTTTTCCATACAAAGTCCGTCCCCGATCCTCGATGATCTACCTCTGCGGTGCGACGGTTGCGAGACGGTCTCGTGTGTGGTCGGATCATGGGCGGATCATGGTCGGATCATGGTCGGATCGGTTCCGCATTGTAAATGGGGTTTCACCTGTTTTTCGTGCATGTGCGGTCGACAGAATTCCATTGTGATTTGCAACTGTAGGATCGTTCCCGCAATGTAGATGGAATTGCAAGTGGTGCTGGTGGATGAGTTGCCGATGGAATTCCATTGTGATTTGCAACTGTAGGATCGTTCCCGCAATGCAAATGGCATTGCAAGTGGTGCTGGTGGAGGAGTTGCCGATGGAGTTTTGAAGGAAGTCTCGCACGAAATGCGTTTTTAGAGAGATAGCAGATGCACGAAACCCTATGTTTTTCCATACAAAGTCCGTCCCCGAACCTCGATGATCTACCTCTGCGGTGCGACGGTTGCGAGACGGTCTCGTGTGTGGTCGGATCATGGGCGGATCATTCTCGGACCATGGTCGGATCGGTTCCGCATGGTAAATGGGGTTTCAAGTGTTTTTCGTGCATGTGCGGTCGACAGAATTCCATTGTGATTTGTAACTGTAGGATCGTTCCCGCAATGTAAATGGGATTGCAAGTGGTGCTGGTGGATGAGTTGCCGATGGAATTCCATTGTGATTTGCAACTGTAGGATCGTTCCCTCACTGCAAATGTGGATTGCAAGTGGTGCTGGTGGAGGAGTTGCCGATGGAGTTCTGGAGGAAGTCTCGCACGAAATGCGTTTTTGAGAGATAGCAGATGCACGAAACCCTATGTTTTTCCATACAAAGTCCGTCCCCGAACGTCAATGATCTACCTCTGCGGTGCGACTGTGAAGCGTGGAGTGTGAAGTTTGGAGTGGGAAGGAAGCAGTGAGAAGTGAGAAGTGTGAATTGTGGACTGTGAAGTGTGGAGTGAAGTGCGAAGTGAGAAGTGTGAAGTTTGGAGTGTGAAGGAAGCAGTGAGAAGTGAGAAGTGTGAAGTGAGAAGTGTGAAGTGTGGACTGTGAAGTGTGGAGTGTGAAGTGCGAAGTGAGAAGTGTGAAGTGTGAAGTTTGGAGTGTGAAGGAAGCAGTGAGAAGTGTGAAATGTGGAGTGTGAAGTGTGAAGTGCGAAGTGAGAAGTGTGGACTGTGAAGTGTGAAGTGTGGACTGTGAAGTGTGAAGTGTGGACTGTGAAGTGTGAAGTGTGCAGTGTGAAGTGTGAAGTGTGAGGTTTGGAGTGTGAAGGAAGCAGCGAGAAGTGTGGAGTGTGAAGTGTGGAGTGTGAAGTTTGAAGTTTGGAGTGCGAAGAGTGCAGTGTGCAGTGTGAGGTGTGGAGTGTCGAGGGAAGGACACGGTCGGGACAGGGTGTCTTTGAACTATAGGTCATTTATGTTTGGGAAACTTCCGCCGCCGGCTTGCCCGGGTCTATGTTATGTTTGGGGTCATATAATCCCAATCCTAACCGTCCTAACCATCAGTGAGGTCGGTCCACATTCAACTTGGCCCAGAAACATGGCATGGCCTTGCGGAGCAGGCTGCGGCCTGAATGGAACCATCTGGGTTTGTCTGAAAATAGAGTACCCCCAATTCCAATGGATTATCAGCATGTTCCCTCTGAAAAAATGGCAATTTATCGGTATTCTCTATTTTCAGGCAAACCCATGTAGCAAGCACTTTGTCCCACAGCCGCACGTGCCCATGCGTGAAACAAATCTCTACACTCTACAAGATCATACAAGTTCCTCGCAGCTCGCAGAGGTGCGAGAAACATAAGAAAACACCTCCGTGACCACATCTTGGCAATTCCCTATACGCAAAGTCTGGCACGCTGAGACATTTTCCAATGATATGTTCCAGTGAATTTTACCAGTGATTCAAGCGAGCCATGAACACCATGAATATCCCATCCCATTATGCTGGTATAGGAATCTCGGATTGTGGGTTACAATAGTCCCCGATAAAGCAGGTAGTAACATTCATCATCAGACGACTAGGGTTGGTAGCATGGATAGTCACAATAATCCCCAGTAAACCAGGTAGGATTATAATTTTTCACAATCCCCAAACTCATGATCAAACAAAAAAATGCCATGAAAACTGCTCCCAAGTAATTCCTGACACCCACACACACCCCTTTTCGCCAAGTCTCTGTTTGGTGCCATCAGATCCCGAGGCCTCCCCACCGCGCCCTCCACTCGGCCCATTGGAAGCTGCGGGCGCTACAGGGACCTGCCTGGGCCCGGATCTGTGCCCATTCTTGCTCGTGAACCCTCACATTTGGAATCCATAATCCAAATCAAGTTTTGAAAGATACATGTCAATGATTTATAGATCACGTTGTCCTACCGGCCCATACATGCCCAGAGCGAAAAGAATCTCTACAAGATCATACAAGCTCTCTGCGAGCGCGCAGAGGTGCAAAAAATAGAAGAAAACGCTTCCGGGATCACGTTTCTAATTGGAAGCACAAAGTTTGACAGGTGGAAACATATTTCACTCACATGTTCGAGTTACATTTTCCAGTGATTCAACTTGAATTCCCATATCCCATCCCATTGTACTGGCCAGCTAATAGGCATTCTGGGTTTCAATAATCCCGGATAAACCAGTTAGTAACAATTTCCAAACTCATCATCAAACAACTAGGCTTGGCATGGATAGTTTCAATAATTTCCAATCCTGTAGGCTCCTAAGTGACCCCAAACCCACCCCCTGCGACATCTCTGCCCTCCTAGTGTCTTGTTGCATTGATCCATCATTGGGAGCTGCCGGCGCTACTGGCATTTGCCTTGGCAATGAACCCACAAGTTGTTGGTTGCCCATGTTTGGTATTGAAGCCTCAAATTTGGAATCCAAATTGGCTTTTTGAAATACAGTTCAATGATTTATAGACCATTTCGAAGCCGAAGGTAGATGACGTGGAGCCGTTAATGCAAGGATTGCAGGGGCCCCAAAATTTCTGATAATCACCAAAGGTGAGAATGGGATATGAATCCAAACCCTGCCAAAGATGGGTCGTTCACCCGCTCAGATGATGGTGCATTCCCTAGTCTTTATGATATGCTTTCCGGAGGACATTTACCAACCCCTGATTCTGATTATGGCCAGTCATACCTGCACCCAAAACTGCGTTTAGTGTGCGTCATGTTCTATACTCCCCATGTGAAGAATATATAAAGTGTGTCTGCATACCGCCCAACTCACCCAGGTTCACCAGAGATCTGACCGGATCTGCATCTGAGATTCTGTCCCACCGGTGGGAATTCTGAGCGGGCGGACCTGAGACGGTTTCAAGATCAATGGTGCCATGAAAAAGAGCTTGAAATAAATCATGGCTAAGGGTATCTCGAAAAAAACAGAAAGTAAGGTCCTGGTGAAATTGGTTTACCTCTAGATGTCTTTAAATGGGAACTATATATATATAATATGTGTGTGTGTACTATAACTGCAGCTAGCCTGCTAGAAAGAGCTGATGATGAAAATCCTGTATTTTCGCTGGTGGGATATAATATTTTTCCAAAGATCAACCGTCAGCCTGTATTTCCCTAGTTGGCCAAGAAACCATATGATCTCAAGATGGTCACCCAGGATTATACCCCAAAAAAAGATGAATGACAATCAACACATCAGATCACAAAATGTTTTACCGCTATGTTCACTTTTGCGGGTCCCTCTGGTGAGTCGTGGCATCTTACTCAAGTGTGGCTCGAGCTGAACGCGACGAACAGTGCAGAACAGGACCATCCAAAGGATTTGATTTGATGGCCAAGAATCTTGATTTGGAAGGTCAAAACCCCATTCCAAAAGAAGCAGAAGAAGGAGAAGAAGACCGAGGAGAAGGTGGACGAGGAGGCGGAGGAAACTTTGACGCAAAAGGAAGAACTCCAGGAATCGTAGAAACTGAATCATAGAAACTGAATAATATAATGTCAACCTCGGATTAATAAAACCCCGGGCTGTTTAGTTGGGGGTTGTCACTTTTAGGGGCATATTATCACTATTTGGATTTATTTGGGGGAACCCCCTTGTTAATCAACCAGGGTTTCAACGCACCGGGGTTGACATTACACAGAATTTCCCTTGCATCCATGCTGCGGCGCTGGCGGCGCGTCCACAGGTGGCAAATCTCCGTGACCGACGTAGCCTACGGAAAACCCCCAGGCTCCCCCTAGGAAAATGAATTACAAATGCTGGATTTTCCACATCGAACTGTTAGTTTTGAGAGTTTCCAGTCTAGTAAGGTTCTATAAATCAAGGTTTTGATTTTTTTCTGAATTTTTTCTGAAAAATTTCTGAATCAAATTTCTGAAATATTTCTGAAAAATTTCTGAATCCAGAGATTTTCTGCTGCCAACCATTCAAAAATGAAGGAAACTAGCTGTTTTGCCGCTATTTTCAAACTTTTTGCGTTGCTTTTCTCGAATCTTGACGAATTTCAGAATTTTTTCAGAATTTTTTCAGAAATTTCTGAAAATTTTCTGAAAAATTTCTGAAATATTTCTGAAAAATTATGAATCCAGAAATTTTCTGCTGCCAACCATTCAAAAATGAAGGACACTAGCTGTTTTGCTGCTGTTTTCAAGCTGTTTTGCTGCTATTTTCATACTTTTTGCGTTGCTTTTCTCGAATTTTGACGAATTTCAGAAATTTGTCAGAATTTTTTCAGAAAATTTTCAGAAATTTTTCAGAAATTTCTGAAAATTTTCTGAAAAATTTCTGAAAAATTTATGCATCCAGAAATTTTCTGCTGCCAACCATTCAAAAATGAAGGAAACTAGCTGTTTTGCTGCTGTTTTCAAGCTGTTTTGCTGCTATTTTCAAACTTTTTGCGTTACTTTTCTCGAATTTTGACGAATTTCAGAATTTTTTCAGAAAATTTTCAGAAATTTTTCAGATTTTTTTCAGAAATTTCTGAAAATTTTCTGAAAATTTTCTGAAATATTTCTCAAAATTTTCTGAAAATTTTCTGAAATATTTCTGAAAAAATTATGAATCCAGAGATTTTCTGCTGCCAACCATTCAAAAATGAAGGAAATGCTTTGCTGCTGTTTTCAAAGTTTTCAGCTAGTTTTTCATACTTTTGGCAGTTCCCAGGTACCAAAAGTGGAGGAAAACTAGCTGTTTCGCTGCTATTTTCAAATTTTTTGCGTTGCTTTTCTCGAATTTTGACGAATTTCGGAATTTTTTCAGATTTTTTTCAAAAATTTCTGAAAAATTTCTGAAAAAATTATGAATCCAGAAATTTTCTGCTGCCAACCATTCAAAAATGAAGGAAACTAGCTGTTTTGCTGCTGTTTTCAAAGTTTTCAGCTAGTTTTTCATTACTTTTGGCAGTTCTGCTGCTATTTTCAAACTTTTTGCGTTGCTTTTCTCGAATTTTGACGAATTTCAAAAATTTTTCAGAATTTTTTCAGAAAATTTTCAGATTTTTTTCAGAATTTTTTCCGAAATTTCTGAAAATTTTCTGAAAAATTTCTGAAATATTTCTGAAAAATTTATGAATCCAGATATTTTCTGCTGCCAACCATTCAAAAATGAAGGAAACTAGCTGTTTTGCTGCTGTTTTCAAAGTTTTCAGCTAGTTTTTCACTACTTTTGGCAGTTCTGCTGCTATTTTCAAACTTTTTGCGTTGCTTTTCTCGAATTTTGACGAATTTCAGAAATTTTTCAGAAATTCTAGTCAGAAATATTTCAGAAATATTTCAGAAATTAATCAAATTTATCCAGTACCTCAGCAGGCTGGGCAGAAAGTCTCAATGTTAGTTCTTAGTTGGGCCCCAGGATAGTGACAGTTCGTGACTCAGAATGGTTTCCAGCTTGGTGATTTCAATCCAACAGAAACTGAAGGTAATCATGACGGTAGCCAGCTCTCAAAAATGGAGGGGAAGAAAATAATTGATGTTGATATGAATGGTAAAAATGCGCATTGTGCCACGCAGGGCAACCTCTTGAAAGTTTGGCAGCCCTGTGCGCACCCCACAAAACACATGGGTTTACAGCTACATGTGATTGGTAACGAAACCCCAGTCAAGGAGTGCCCAATGGTATCAAACAATATTTTTCAATCTCCCTCTATGGCTCTCTTAGGGTTTAATAATAGCGTTGGTAAACCTCTACCATAAATGGGTGGTATACAGCATCAAAATATGGGTGGTGTATGATTGTCTGAACATGGTCTAATCCCACTGGGATTTACAAACCCACCTGACCCGTGTGACCGCCTGCGCCAGTGCCCGCTGTTCCCATCATCACGGCAGGCCCAGGCGGGTTGAGCTCGAAGCAGTGGTCGGGGGACAAACGCAGCAAATCCGGGTCGACGGGGGCGTCAGTGCTGTGCTTCCCAACAGCCCGCACCCTTGGTCGCCCGGTCATGGCCAACCGGGAGAGCGGACAGAGAACTGACTGTGAGATAAAGGGGCCATGTCTGTAAATATAAGCAAGTAGAGCGAGCGAGCGAGAGAGAGAGAGAGAGAGAGAGAGAGACACACACACACACGCACACGCACAGATATAATATATATATATATATAAATATGATACCAGTAGTACCGCACAAGGCGGTGGCGGAAGTTTCAAAAATAGGAAACCTATAAGAAAGGTTCGTTGTTGTGAATCACGGATGGCAGAGCGAAGCCACTGATGGATCGAAAGGTGATTGATGTCTCCTTTTTTCTCTCTCTTTCTCTGACTATCTACCTACCTCCCTATCTATCTACCTATGTATCTATCGATCTATTTACCTATCTATCTATCTATGTATCTATCGATCGATCTATCTATCTATCTATCTATCGACCCTCCGGAGCCGACTTTTCGACCCTCCGGAGCCACAAATCATTGGAAAAACACAGTGTTTCGCGACTTTCCTACCTTTTCACGCATCTGCATCTTCTTTCTTCTGACTCTTTCTCTTCTACTCTTCTTTCTTCTAATCTTTCTCTTCTCTCTGCCTCTTCCCTGCTCTGCTTTTCATCTGTCCATATTGTCGGAAGTTTGACTTCTAAACTTCCTTCGATAAATCAAATATAATGTACATTGAATATAACATAAATTGGACATAATATAAGATAATATAAAACGATGTAATAATTATTTATATTTACATTTACAATTATGATTATATATTTATGTTATTTTAGATTTATGGTTATGTAAGTACATGTATATATATATATAAGTATATCCGTGTGTGTTTGTGTGTGCGTGCGTGCGACAGTGCCTCTGCTTTGCACTATGTCAATCTATCTACCTATACCCACCCTCTCTGATTAAATCAAAGTTTTGCTTCCATTTGTTGATCCATTTCTCCCCTGACTGCCAAGTTGCCACAATCTGGTGCCATATCGATGGGTCCTGATTCCGAGCAACATGGGCCTTCCAAACACAATATCTCTTGAGATCTCTTGGGAATGAAACTATTTTTGAAGTGGCAAGCAGAATATAAAGAATGTATATCAGCGCTCCCCAATTTGTGGAGATTCTTCGGTACCTATTTGGGAGGATGCAAAATGACCCCCAAATGGTTGGACATTGGGATACTTTTTGGCATCGGGTTGACCACACGACCCATTCTTGACACCCAGCATGGTGATGGGCAATCATCACCAGCAAGTGTAGCATCATCAAAGAAAGCTTACCAGTCCCATGTTGAGGTAGCGTCAAGTGCCATGCGGTCCATCTGCTGGTCCAACTTTATACAAGTTCAAGAGGCATCACTGCAGCTGGCCCAGTGCCAAACGTGTTTGAGACCGAGACACTGAAGGCGACGGTTGTCATGACCGGCCGCTTCTACCTCAGAAAAATCATCTGGATCAGGAAACCCCTCGGAACTGGGTGTGTCTTACCCCGCATTCTATGGAAAAGTGAATGAAGGGTAAAATCGGGAAAATGATGGCTCACCACTGGATGTTGGGGGGCCATTTTTTGTGGACAAACCGAAGGCACGGCAAATGCATAGATGCCCTAGCCCTGTGAGTAGGAATGGTTCAAATAATTCGATCAACAGTTGGTCCACATAACCAGGGTAGAGAATTGTAGGTACAGTGCACCTTGATGGAAAACGCTGGACGGTGGGAGCACACGCCTGGTCTGGTAGTTGGCTAGTTGCATGTCAAGGGTCATGTCACCCAAGCGCTGCTAAATACCCTCTCTTGGGCGCAAGTGTTTGGTACAAATCTGGATGATGTTTGATTTTTTAGACAAAATTAGCATTGATGGCTGCCCAAATCCCACGTATCGTTCATGGTGGGCTTTTTGGAGGTGAAGTAGGCCGCGTACAAATTACGTATGGATCACCCGATGTGAATGAATTTTCTCCCAAAAAAGTGGGGCTACCGACTTCCAGTCGCCTGCATCGGGCGCAGATGCTAAGGTTTCCAACAGAAAGGATCGGAGTTTGGTGATTTCTAGCAGTCTAGTATTGAATGGGGTAGTACATGGCACCATCGAAGTAGCTGCAACCAGAACCAGTATTCACCAATTGCCCTTGGTGGTCAAATCCCTGTTTTTTCCATCACTATGCTTGTTGGCTAAAGCACTCAACCATCCAAGTTGCAGGGACTTGGAATAATTTTCAGCCGAAGCTACCCGCTCTTGAGGCTCTCCCATTCGAGCGCTCAACGTAGAAATCTCCACGAACCCATCGAGTCTCATTTGGAGATCCCTTCCTGCTCGAGTTGAGGCGTGATGACCAAGCATTTTATGGGCATGGAACCCCAAACAAGCAGAAATAATGGTTTCCGCAAACCACAATTTGTTGGGTAGGGGGTCTTCCCTACCATAGGGAAACACCAGTGTATCTCTGGTTGTGTGGGGTTCTACAGGCCACGAACAGTATGATTTGGGGATATGCAAAAATAATCGAAAGTTTGGAAGTTACCCCGTTTATGGCAATCTTGAGCGGGAAGATGGTGATTATGATATGTTGATATATGCTGGGGTATAAACAGTATGGACCTCGGTTTCAGACACACCCGTGCGAAAATTGGCGGAACAAAAAACTCGAATAAGATTTGACTCATATTTACACATGCCAATCTTTCACACGGCTACAACCAATTCATGGCTGTTCCCTTCCAATCATCAAACAGCACAGCAATGGGATATTCGCATATTTTTCCCTAGGAACGTCATCAACAGGGGAATCGTCCATCACCCATGATCTCAAAGGATATGTTCTAAAGTGCTATGTCAAAGGATCCAATTTCTCCGATAGAAAAACGGGCCGTTTAACAAAACGACAAGCCAATCTGCTAATCTGCGGTGCCCTGCGCCTTAAAGTTTGATCCATACTAACTTAAAAACCTCCGTTTTCGGGCGGGTTAGTATCTAACTCAAACACCTCCAAAGATGCCCCAAATACCCAAAACCTTAGAGGTGGCCTAATGTTAAATTGGAATCAGAGGCTATAAGAAACGGTTTTAAACGCTGAACTATGCCCAACCTCAGTGACTCAAGAGTTGCCAGCCCGGAGGGTACATCCTGTGGCAAATCATCCAAGTTCTTCAGAAGATCGTAATTAGAAAAAACACCACTCAGAAACCCCCGGCTTAGTACTGGATCTCTCTCCGCCTTTTCGGGTCTCAGGCCTCAGTCTCCCAGCCCCCTTAAGGACGGCCACTCCTTGATGCCTTAGCTTCCTTGTTATTCGTTTGGAGAGACGATACATGTCATCTCCACCATTGGCCATAGCTGCCATAGCTACGTGCTGGTCACGGTCTACCGTCATGGCAGCGAAGGCGGGGTTGAAACGTTGGGAAGTGACGGTTGGACTGTGGATGTCCATGGCCGGTGAATAGCATATATATGTTTGTGCATACTGCACGTGTGCCAGGATGTGAATAGATATGGGACCACCACACCTGCGAGCTGTGATGGCAACGTATTCCAACAAGCTCCAAAATCCGGAAAAAAAACATGGAACAGTCATCATCATCATCATCATCATCATCATCATCATCATCATCATTTCAACCAGCACGTGGTTTCCAACATGCTGCGCCCACACGTCTTTTCTGATCTGCTCTGTAAAATCTGGCTTCGTGGTGGCGGCGGCGGATGCGTGGGACAGCTGTCAGGATGTCAGCATCTGTGCAGCCTGACGCGTGCCAAGCACACGGAGTGAAGCGACCATGGATTGGCTTCCTTGCCAACATCTGGGAGAAACAAAGTTTTTTTACCAAAAATATGTGGTTCCTGCAGATTTTCCCATCATCCAATTCTCGGATAGACTCAGAGCAGTTCTGGCTCAAAATTAGGACGCCCGGTTTGCCTAGTTTCATCATTCAAACTCTAAACACCTCTAAATTATCAGGGAGAGTAGATAAGGGAGAGTAGAGGGATAAGTTTGGTGCCTTGCTCGAACTTGACGGTGGCTCAAACTGATTGACCCCTTCTGCTGACTTCACAGAAAGGAGTAACATTCTGGGTCTCGTTTTAAACATCGCTGAGCCTCCTACCAGTTGTTACCGGGTTGTGACCCCATTCAACTGGAAATTCACCCAAAAGGAAAGCATTGAAGGGCAGCTGTCAGGGTTTAAGCTTATAATGTTATAACATCTTATCAATTATAGCTCATTATTCCAATTACGTGATTACCATTCAATACCACCAACAAAATCCAAAACAAATCGGGGTCGCGCGCAAGCCCATCCGCAATCGGCGGCCCGGCCCCCAGTCACCTGCGAATCAGGAACTCCCCGCTGTCCTCAGCTTCATTGTGAGGCCTGGCTGGGGTCTGTAGGATTGATGCAGTTCGGGACAGCCACTTGCCCTGGGATGAACCACCAAGTACTGGAAAAACCCGAAAAGGGAGATCAAATCGAGACAGACCTGGGCAAATCATCTCCAAATAGTGGGATTGTCATTGGATGCAGGGATGGGTCATGCCACCGGCTCCCTTGATGTGGGAATCGTGCTAGAGGTTTGATCCATGACCATAACTATGTGGGCATATCCAAAAATGGGATGGCTCAACCATAGAGACAGGGATGGATTTGGCCAAGAGACATCTGTTCCAAAAAAGGGGGTCACCAACAAGAATAGCGATTTACCACCCAAAGTGCGCGGTGAAACCCCAAAAATGACGAGCTTTTGTCGAAATGGGACAGTTGTTAGGAATCAGTTTGGCGTTCAGCACCTAGAAATCCACTGTGCGCCTATGCCTATGACGGTATTGGTCAAAGTTGGGTGCCCTCAACAAAATAAGCAAACAAAAACCAAAACAATAAACGCAGAAATAATAATTGCATAATTTGCATAATCATAGCAGAGTAACAATGATAATAGTCATGATGGTAACAGGATGTAACAGGCATAAAACCATATAAAACCAAAGTCACCCAAATCCCTGGTTCCCGGAAGCGCATGGCGAAAATCGCGCCTGAAGCTGGCGTCGCAAGTCATTGTTCTCCGCGCGCAGCGCTTTGTTCTCCTCTTCCAGGGCTTGGATCCTCGCGCCCCTGGCGGTGACGCTGGACGACAGCCCAGAAGGATTAGAGACAGAAGGGGAAAGGGAAAACTGTGGAAAACTGTGGAAATGATCTGCAAGAAACGCCTGTTCTATCCTTTTCTGCATCTGGTTTTGTACTGTACTTGATTGTAATTGTATATCCAGCCCCTATTCAACCTATTCTTTGATTGTATCCTGCCAACCAGTAACCAGGTGAGATTCGGCTGCTGCAGTTCCAGCCCAATCCATATTCGTCAACGCGGTGACCCGAGGCAATGTGGCAAACCCAACAAGAAAGTCAGCCGCAATTTCACCAGAAATGGGTGGTATAACTTGTAACTCTCCAACATTCTCCAAATATTTGAGGTGCACTCTTGAGTGTACCAGATTGGCAAAGGTTTGAAACCTCAAAACCACACAAAGCTAAAGCAGAACTAAGGCCCGATCAGATCAAAGAGCATGTCATCTGGACCCACGGTGCCCCTCAGCACAGCTTTTCAAGACCAAGCGCCCATGTGTGATGTGGGTAACCCCAATACTGAAAGAGGGTTTAACCCTGGAAAATGGAGTTGACCAGGAAAGAAACGGAAAAAACTGTGGATTAAATTCGATTAAGAGGATAATTATGGTATGAGAAAGGTAAACCTGTTCTAAAAAAAACCGTCCCGACTTGGTATACCCCCAATTGGGATGATGTAAAATGACCCCCCAAGTGGGTGAGCCACTTTGGGGGACCTATGGTATTGGGCTGGCCACGTTGCCATGGTCTAAAAGCCTCAAATATCTCCGGATTCCTTCAAAAGCAAACGCCAAATCATCTTCTGGGTCAAAAATGTGTGACTATGTATATGCATATGTTTGAGAAACAATACCAAAGTCTATTTATATATCACAAATATGGCCCGAAGCTGGTTTGAGGTGATTTTTTCTCGAGGAGGAATCCCTGCAATTTGGAAACGGGTATAAAGAGACCTGTTTTCCTGAAAAAGACATCAAGACAAAGTGCAGTACTTCACATACTTCACACATCAAACAGAAGCATACACACAAGCCATGCTTATTCATATGTTTGGGGTCATATAATCCCAATCCTAACCGTCCTAACCATCAGTGAGGTCGGTCCACATTCAACTTGGCCCAGAAACATGGCATGGCCTTGCGGAGCAGGCTGCGGCCTGAATGGAACCATCTGGGTTTGTCTGAAAATAGAGTACCCCCAATTCCAATGGATTATCAGCATGTTCCCTCTGAAAAAATGGCAATTTATCGGTATTCTCTATTTTCAGGCAAACCCATGTAGCAAGCACTTTGTCCCACAGCCGCACGTGCCCATGCGTGAAACAAATCTCTACAAAATCATACAAGTTCCCTGCGAGCTCGCAGAGGTGTGAGAAACATAAGAAAACACCTCCGTGACCACATCTTGGCAATTCCCTATACGCAAAGTCTGGCACGCTGAGACATTTTCCAATGATATGTTCCAGTGAATTTTACCAGTGATTCAAGCGAGCCATGAACACCATGAATATCCCATCCCATTATGCTGGTGTGTTACTAGGAATCTCGGATTGTGGGTTACAATAGTCCCCGATAAAGCAGGTAGTAACATTCATCATCAGACGACTAGGGTTGGTAGCATGGATAGTCACAATAATCCCCAGTAAACCTGGTAGGCTTATAATTTTTCACAATCCCCAAACTAATTAATGCTCAAACAAAAAAATGCCATGAAAACTGCTCCTAAATAATTCCTGACACCCAGACCCCCCCCTTTTCGCCAAGTCTCTGTTTGGTGCCATCAGATCCCGAGGCCTCCCCACCGCGCCCTCCACTCGGCCCATTGGAAGCTGCGGGCGCTGCAGGGGCCATAGGGACCTGCCTGGGCCGGATCTGTGCCCATTCTTGCTCGTGAACCCTCACATTTGGAATCCATAATTCAAATCAAGTTTTGAAAGATACATGTCAATGATTTATAGATCACGTTGTCCTACCGGCCCATACATGCCCAGAGCGAAAAGAATCTCCACAAGATCATACAAGCTCTCTGCGAGCGCGCAGAGGTGCAAAAAATAGAAGAAAACGCTTCCGGGATCACGTTTCTAATTGGAAGCACAAAGTTTGACAGGTGGAGACATATTTCACTCACATGTTCGAGTTACATGGTCCAGTGATTCAACTTGAATTCCCATATCCCATCCCATTGTACTGGCCAGCTAATAGGCACTCTGGGTTTCAATAATCCCGGATAAACCAGTTAGTAACAATTTCCAAACTCATCATCAAACAACTAGGCTTGGCATGGATAGTTTCAATAATTTCCAATCTTGTAGGCTCCTAAGTGACCCCAAACCCACCCCCTGCGACATCTCTGCCCTCCTCGTGTCTTGTTGCATTGATCCATCATTGGGAGCTGCCGGCGCTACTGGCATTTGCCTTGGCAATGAACCCACAAGTTGTTGGTTGCCCATGTTTGGTATTGAAGCCTCAAATTTGGAATCCAAATTGGCTTTTTGAAATACAGTTCAATGATTTATAGACCATTTCGAAGCCGAAGGTAGATGACGTGGAGCCGTTAATGCAAGGATTGCAGGGGCCCCAAAATTTCTGATAATCACCAAAGGTGAGAATGGGATATGAATCCAAACCCTGCCAAAGATGGGTCGTTCACCCGCTCAGATGATGGTGCATTCCCTAGTCTTTATGATATGCTTTCCGGAGGACATTTACCAACCCCTGATTCTGATTATGGCCAGTCATACCTGCACCCAAAACTGCGTTTAGTGTGCGTCATGTTCTATACTCCCCATGTGAAGAATATATAAAGTGTGTCTGCATACCGCCCAACTCACCCAGGTTCACCAGAGATCTGACCGGATCTGCATCTGAGATTCTGTCCCACCGGTGGGAATTCTGAGCGGGCGGACCTGAGACGGTTTCAAGATCAATGGTGCCATGAAAAAGAGCTTGAAATAAATCATGGCTAAGGGTATCTCGAAAAAAACAGAAAGTAAGGTCCTGGTGAAATTGGTTTACCTCTAGATGTCTTTAAATGGGAACTATATATATATAATATGTGTGTGTGTACTATAACTGCAGCTAGCCTGCTAGAAAGAGCTGATGATGAAAATCCTGTATTTTCGCTGGTGGGATATAATATTTTTCCAAAGATCAACCGTCAGCCTGTATTTCCCTAGTTGGCCAAGAAACCATATGATCTCAAGATGGTCACCCAGGATTATACCCCAAAAAAAGATGAATGACAATCAACACATCAGATCACAAAATGTTTTACCGCTATGTTCACTTTTGCGGGTCCCTCTGGTGAGTCGTGGCATCTTACTCAAGTGTGGCTCGAGCTGAACGCGACGAACAGTGCAGAACAGGACCATCCAAAGGATTTGATTTGATGGCCAAGAATCTTGATTTGGAAGGTCAAAACCCCATTCCAAAAGAAGCAGAAGAAGGAGAAGAAGACCGAGGAGAAGGTGGACGAGGAGGCGGAGGAAACTTTGACGCAAAAGGAAGAACTCCAGGAATCGTAGAAACTGAATCATAGAAACTGAATGATATAATGTCAACCTCGGATTAATAAACCCCCGGGCTGTTTAGTTGGGGGTTGTCACTTTTAGGGGCATATTGTCACTATTTGGATTTATTTGGGGGAACCCCCTTGTTAATCAACCAGGGTTTCAACGCACCGGGGTTGACATTACACAGAATTTCCCTTGCATCCACGCTGCGGCGCTGGCGGCGCGTCCACAGGTGGCAAATCTCCGTGACCGACGTAGCCTATGGAAAACCCCCAGGTTCCCCCTAGGAAAATGAATTACAAATGCTGGATTTTCCACATCGAACTGTTAGTTCTTAGTTGGGCCCCAGGATAGTGACAGTTCGTGACTCAGAATGGTTTCCAGCTTGGTGATTTCAATCCAACAGAAACTGAAGGTAATCATGACGGTAGCCAGCTCTCAAAAATGGAGGGGAAGAAAATAATTGATGTTGATATGAATGGTAAAAATGCGCATTGTGCCACGCAGGGCAACCTCTTGAAAGTTTGGCAGCCCTGTGCGCACCCCACAAAACACATTGGTTTACAGCTACATGTGATTGGTAACGAAACCCCAGTCAAGGAGTGCCCAATGGTATCAAACAATATTTTTCAATCTCCCTCTATGGCTCTCTTAGGGTTTAATAATAGCGTTAGTAAACCTCTGCCATAAATGGGTGGTATACAGCATCAAAATATGGGTGGTGTATGATTGTCTGAACATGATCTAATCCCACTGGGATTTACAAACCCACCTGACCCGTGTGACCGCCTGCGCCAGTGCCCGCTGTTCCCATCATCACGGCAGGCCCAGGCGGGTTGAGCTCGAAGCAGTGGTCGGGGGACAAACGCAGCAAATCCGGGTCGACGGGGGCGTCAGTGCTGTGCTTCCCAACAGCCCGCACCCTTGGTCGCCCGGTCATGGCCAACCGGGAGAGCGGACAGAGAACTGAAAGGGGCCATGTCTGTAAATATAAGCAAGTAGAGCGAGCGAGCAAGAGAGAGAGAGAGAGAGAGGCACACACTAGACAAGAATGGATCATTATATGATCCGGCAGGAACTGAATCCTGAAACATGCAAACCAGCCTAGATCGTTAGATTAGTAAAGGAGCCACATGAGGTACTTCTCGAAAACGATGTAGGGCATCCAATGTTGTCAAACGAAGTCAAAACCAGAATCCATAGAGTTTTAACCAGCATGTTGAGAATCCACAATAATGTTTCGGCGATTGTTTCCCAAAATAACCCATAGTCGTCGGCGACATCATCTCGGCGAAAATAAATCAAAAAACATAATACTGTCGGCGATATGGTTTCGGCGAAAATCCGAGGAAGGTTCTGATGCATGTAAAAGTCAAAAATGATTCCAGATTGCGACAACAGTGCAGCAAATTGTATAATATTGTTGTTGGGGTTCTAAGCTTGGCCCCTTGCTATGTCGGAGAAAGCAGGTACGTGGAGTTGATCAGACTCCATATCCTAGTCAACTGCATGGAGCTTCGTTGGCGACAGCCATGCAGCGACCCTGTCGCCCCCTGCAAACTAGTGAAAACCAATCAGAAGTTTTACATCTGTTCAGATGGTACACACACACACCTCGCATATAGCGAGGTTGGATTTTTTGGAAGAACTTCGCTGGCGGAATCGGCAATACACCAGTGAGAGTGAACCTGTAAAAACCAAATGTACAAACGGGCGATCACTTCAGTCAGAAGAAGAAGGATTCGGAGCTTGTAGAAGGACTTCGAAAGCATCGTGGAAGCTCATGCGTTCAACCATCGCCCACGTCTCATTGAATTCCCCAGATGCCGTAGCAGCCTTCAAGGCCTCAGAAAGATCCGTGGCTAATTCGTGGATCCGGGTGGTAAGGCTCGGTTCCTCTGCTGGAGATGTCGTCTCAATGGGCACATTGTGAAAAGGATGGTGTCCGTGTACAAGGGGAATCTCGAAATGATGTCGCCAATAGTCCGCTGTACGTAGGGACCACTCCCAATTGCCCGAAAGACCATAAAAGTAGTGTTCAGGGTCACGACAGCGGGAATGCCCTAGCAAGGGGATTTCTTCAATGAAAAGCTCCCTGGTGTTGTTGGAGTGGGTAATGACCTTGAATTGGATCTGGTGAACCACGCGAGAAGAGAATTGAGCACGATGGAGGTAGTTGTGTGCAGAACTTGACTCCATTGGAAACGGGACGCAAGGAGGTGCTGGTCCTGAATATGTATCAGGATGGGCCATAGTATCCGTGGCAGGTGCCGTACTGTCAGTGACCAAAGGTGCCGACGTAGGGTTGGTCGTAGTGTCGGGAGCTCCTGAGTGACATAGTGCAGAAGTCAGGGCGTCTGGTACTTGAACTGGATTGGTAGGAGCGAGTCCACGGGTAGGATTCGAAGGCCAAGACAAGCCCGCCACGGTCGCGTCTCGTTTGTGTTCCATGGGTGAAACTGTCACAAATGCGAGAAATAGTGCAACAACGGCTGAAGCATCAAGAATTGCAGAAAAAAGCCAATCCCGAAAATGATAATTTTCACAAAAATGATAAAAGTGAAATCCAGTCCTCAAGCAAGTGGGTCAATTGCGACGGAGAAGCCACAGCTCAAAGTCAAATAAAATAGAAATCGAAGAATCCTGTGTGTTAGTGGGTTGTCAAGGAAGAATTGAAAACCCTCTAGCATGGTCTTTTTTGGCCGGCTAGCGTATCAGGGCAGGATCACACCGGAGCTAATTTTGTAGCATTGCAAACGTAGTACGAAAGGCTGTCTGGTACCCGGAATGAGGAAAGAAGATTCACGGGAGTTGTACTGCCGAAGTCGCCATTCAGGTCGGTATGCCTCCAAAAGCTGCAAGACCGTCATATCATTGGAAACTTGGAATGTCTCACCGTCCAGGTCGCAAAAGCGAAACTCCAGATTCGAGGGATCAATTTGGATGTCCCATTGGGACCTCAATCTTTTGGAGATACAGAAGCGAAGTTCGGCAATTGGGATGAAGCCGGCTTCAACTGGTTCCATCTGACGTGACCAGGTAAACAAAGCTGCAAGTTCAAAGCCGCTGACATGTCTAAAATTGGAGTTCACCAGAGCCATGTAGTGTTCACGGTCAGGTTCGCTTCGGTGAGTCAATGCCTGTAGGGGAGAGAAGTCAACCAAGATAAGGACAGGTCTGTTTGGAGGAGGGTTCGCATCACCAGGAAGGCCTCGATGTCCAGCAATCCATCCAACGGTTCGTGTACCAAGCGGTGTCTCAATCGTGGATGTAGCGCGATATGGATTGGGTCGAGAAGAACGAGCCATTGCGTCGAATGTGAAGTATCGAGGATAAAGCGAAAAGCACAAGCTGCAAAATGGGTTGGAATAGCCACAGAAACCAGCTCAAAGTGTTAGAAATGAACGAGAAACGGTGTACCTAGTAAATGGTCACACAAAGAGACGATGAATCACAGGTCTTTTTCCTGCCGACAAATAATGTGGTATATTACACACTTGAGTCCGACGTATCCATCGGGTCAATATCATTCGCATCCAGCGGACCATGTACTTGTTGAGGAGGGACAGCGGGGCGAGTGAGATGTACAGTACGTTGTAGTGTTGCCGGTGGGGAAGAAGGTGGTGTAGACCGCCAAGGTGGCCAATATAAAGAGGTAGTAGTTCCTTGAGAATGGTGGTGGGCAGAGCGTCCCCAGCATGACTGTAAAATATGGAGGTGGTCCGGTATCGCTTCGTACGGCTGTGAGACAGAGACGTTTGAGTGTTCAGGGTGTGGTAAAACGGGAACAGTAGTTGCCGTAGGGGAGGAGGATGATGATTGAATTGGTACGTCATAGTATCTGCGCCAATGGTTAGCTGTAGTACGCAAGGTCGCCTGGTCGTTGGTGAGGTGCATGTTCTCCAGGAATGTTTCCACTGGTTTCCACGTTTCAAGACCATCAAGTGTCCTTTCCACGATCCAAAGTTCATCTGAACGGTTAGACAAAGGATAGCTCAGCTTCTTGATGAAGACGGAGTGGACAGTGGTAGAGGTCGGAATCATTCTCGCTGCACGAGGAATATAGGATGCCGAGGTAGGATCATCAGGTGGCAAGTGTGAGGCAAGGCCATGTATGGATGTAGGTGGTGAACGGTGCGAGACCAATCGAGCAGGATGATCCGTGTTGGAGGTCATCATGTACGATCACAAGAGTATGATAACGAGAAATACTGAACTGAAGCCAAAAGGTCGTGGGGAAGGTCAATGATGAAGGAATAAATAACGAATATCACCCAATGGAAAACGAGAAAAGGATGACACAAGGGAAAATCAGAACCGGGGTGGTGGACATCATAACGAATGTTGGTCTTTTCCCTCATAGACATGAGCCGTGCCAAGATCCATCAAGACAGCTAATCACTCAGCGGCTTTAGTGTATCGGGTGGCCGTGACGAATGGATGCCCACGTGGAATCACTTGAACATGTACAGCAAAGCCGGTGTCTTGTGCATCTGGATGGGGTGTCAGCAGCAATGGTGAACACTCACGAGTCGTGAAGGCATCGAGATGTTGATGAGTTTTCCATCTCGGGTAGAACCAATTCAAAACATCCAGAAGAGAATGAGGAAGGTCGTCAAGCATCTGAGCTCCTTGATCGGTGTCAATCATCATGTAGAACTCCGACGCTGGTAGGTGTATGGACCAGCGTTGTAGCAACGTGTCGGTG